TTCTGTTTGAACGCATTCGTTTACTGGATCCTTGGACTGAAAAGTTTACAGGAGTTTACTGGTTTTTAAGCTATTGTTTTCGTTGTAATGTACTGATTCAAATTAGTAATCAATAATTAACTATTATTTTACCACTCTGCGCGCATCCCCTGACATGCTCTCGTACATGAAGAAGCAGCACCTCTGTCACTGTCGGCAATCGGCATCCTCTCTGACTGACGGAGCGGGCGAGGGTGCAGGCGCAATCATCAAACATATTTCAAAGGAAGCCGGCGCCACGGTCCTGACCGCATCACTGGGTGTTTTTAGGGAATATTTGTTTTTTTTACAAGCGATTGGATTAGCTATTCATGTGGTGTGGACTGTCATGATTTTGCCTAAAGAAGGACACTAATGAATGATGCGCATCAGAGGGGATTTAGAAGTGGGTATACACAAAGCCAACTGATAAAGAAGTGGGTATACGCCGTATACCTTCCACTATACCACTAAACACTATAAAGGGGTGCACTCTGCAAAAAGTTTGGGAACCACTGTGCTATAGGATTTATTAATGTTATGAATTCACTTTTATTTTTGTTGGGGCTTTTGTTTTATGTATTTTTATTCATTTTTGTATTTTATATTTGCATTCGTTTTTTTTTTTTCTATTTAGTTTTAACTTATTTTTATTTCAGTTTTAGTTTTAAAAATGTCAGTACTTAAAATTAAACTCATTTATTTTAGTTAGCTGCCAGGGTAACATTTATCATTTTCATTTAATTTTTTTAAGGTTTTCATCTAATATTTATATTTTATTTAATTTAATCTTAATTTCAATTAACAAATAACTATTTTTGATAGGTTTAGTTGTAATTAACAATGACAACATTGACGTACTTACCTTTATCTGCATCAGAGCCTGTGTTGTAGAGTTTGGGTGTAACTCCATGACGGATTTTGATGGTAAACAGAGCTTGATGTCCTTCTGTGTCTAACTGCACTGAATCACAAGCACATAAAAACTACATATCAAAATAAAGATGATCCAGTCCTGAGTTTACATGTACATTTGGGATAACTATTTTTTTTTACAGTAATTACCCAGAAGCTTACCTGTGTCAGCTGTGCTGGGGTGGAACAACGTGTTAGTATATGTGATAAACTGGAGCTGTCGATTCAGACTGGACAAAAGGCTGCTGCTCAGGGTCATGTGCATCTCGCCATCACCCCTGACCTTTACCCCCTCCACCTCTGCTGCCACATTAAATGTGCCCAGAGATGCTGAAAAGTTCAGCTACAAAGAAAGATGAAAAACATATTGTCCAGGAAGCATCCATAACACAAAAGCACAGGAAATAGACATAAATTATTCATAATATCACTTACAGTATATACATCTCGGGGCAGCTCTTTTAAGGCCAAACCTGAAACACATTACAGCCATGTATTCGGGGCCGGATTTATCTCTTATCATGACATAGGCAAAATAAATTTTGGGGCCCCCCTTCCCTATTAATATATAATATTACCACCCCAAAACAGGAAACAAAAATAAATTGTAATCCATGGAAACCATTAGTGTTCTCTATCACAAGTACAAAGTCATTCCGCTTGCGTTCAGCCACTGAAGGTCGAATGTAGATCGTCACTCATTTGAGAACAGAGAAAGACCGTTTAATTAAGTTAGGAATAACATTATTATTATAGGAATGCATTATTTTTCTAATAATTCAATGGCCCGGAGTCAATTATTCCGTGTATACTTTAGTTAACACACTACAAGACATTGTTCGTGTTTTATTTGAAGACATTTGTCAGGTTTTTGTCCTTAAAATGCTATTGTGTGTAAGACTAATTTATCTAATCTTAAGCTTCCTGTTGCTCATTATAAAACGTAATTTTAGAGCTTATAACAGAGGCTTGAGCAGTTGATATGGAGAGTAGGAAAAGTTAGTCATTTTTATTCTTTTGTTTTTTTTTTATTTCTTGGTCAATGTCTTTTGGGGTTTTGTTTTGTTTTTTGCTGTTTTTTTTTATTTTTATCAATTGGGCCCTCCCTAGACTTGCGAGCATAGGCATGTGCCTGGCTATGCATAAATCTGGCCCTGCATGCAATGTACTGTGCAGCCTCTATAACTAAATGAAAATGCACTCAGCTACCTTCTATTAAAGTCACAGTCCATTAAGTAATTTAACAATGCGCTCTTTTCAGATCTCAGTCGTAAGCTTCATATTATTATTATGCACAAACATATATCACACTGTCACTGCATATATCACTGCAATCTGAAAAAAGCAACCCAGGCTCATTGGAAGTACAATACTGTGGCTACATTTCTTCAGAAATGTACACACATTTCACTGCAGTTTCCAGGACACATGAACACTGGTGGCAGTAAAAACACCAATAACTTTTGTTCCTTTTCATTCAAATAATGATTACGGGGGCAGATTATCAATGAATAAAGACTTAGTTTTGTGCAGTTCCTTGCACAATACTGCATTACTATTATGTGAACATTTTTAACGTAGTGCATGATTTATAAACAGGTTTTGTCTGGCCAGAGGAGAACTGGCCCCCCGACTGAGCCTGGTTTCTCCCAAGGTTTTTTTCTCCATTTCTGTCACCGATGGAGTTTTAGTTCCTTGCCACTGTCACCTTTGGCTTGCTTAGTTGGGGACACAATTTCTGGCAACAATGTTGCCTTGACTGCACACTGTTGCCTTGAAGCTGCTTTGACACAATCTGTATTGTATAAAGAGCTATATAAATAAAGGTGACTTGACTATAAACAAATACATTTTAACGTTTGCATCAAAATCTGTGCTGTTGAATAAACCTGCATCTGCAATTGAGAAAACTGATATATCTTATAGTGCCTCTTGTGGATCATCTAAAAAAAGTGCAGCAAAATGGACCTGAAGCAATGTATTTTAGGTTTTGCAGAAATGTAGCCACAGTGACATATTTCCAATGAGCATGGGCTGCAAAAAAGTCAGGTATTATCAATAATATTCATCACATTAGCTTAAAGATTTATTATTATAATGCTAAGTCTCATCACAGTTCTTCAGTCATATGGCAATACATTAATCTTACTAGGAACAGAAAGTGTATTACCTGGTATGAGGATAGTTTTAAGTGGCCGAACCTCCACACCCTGGGTTGGGTACTGCAGAGGGTTGTTAGCTTCAGCTACAATCAGCAGATCAGCAGGGGTCTGCGACCTATACACACCAGGGTTACAATCGTTAACTAAAACTAAAACCATAAAAAAATAACTATTTGCAAGATCAGACATAGTCTGTCATATACACAGTTTTTTTGATAACATGTATATGGATTTATAAACCAAACAACTGCACATTTGCACTGGCATAAAATTATTAAATGCACCTCATTTGAAAGCTCTGATACTCTTTGGCGCGCCGTTTCTTCATCTCATGGAGCTGGGAGGCCTGGAAGGCAGTGTGCAGCGGATGGGCAGACACTCTAGGGAACAACAGCTGAGCAAAGGGCAGGTTGACCCCTCTGCTGTCTCCTTCACAAACACAGCCGTTGCGAGCCAAAAGCCTTGCAGAAGAGGAGGAGAGTTATCACATGATCAACCTGTCAGCCTTTGAACAGAAGGAAAACTTTTGCATCCTCCTAAGCTGACAGTAGACAATGTAGGTCTCTGTTTTATGTAAATACATAAAAGATTTACAGGACATCAACATTTCACTTCTGAGTTAACAAAATAAATTCATGTACAGAATTTAAAGTGATGTTTAGAGATACGTTGTAGATTTCAGAACAACTTTAATTTGGAGCACATACACTACAGTTCAAAGGTTTGTGGTCATTAAGATGACTAAGGTTAATTAATTATTGTATACAGCAAGGACAATTTAAATCAATCAAAAATCACAGTAAAGACATTTACAATATTATAAAAGATTTCTATTTCAAATAAATGTTGTTCTTTTGAACTTTCTATTTATCAGCGAATCCTGACAAAAAAATTATTCAGTTTCCACAAAAAACATTAAGATATTATAAGAATGTTAATATTTCTGAAGGATCAAGTGACACTGAAGACTGAAGTAGTGGCTGCTGAAAAATCTACTTTGCTATAACAATAAGTACATTTCAGTACATTTAAAAAAAAAAAAATAGAAAATAGTTATTTTAAATTGTAATGATATTTCACAATATTACTGTTTTCCTATATTTTTCATCAAATAAAGACAGCCTTGATGAGTAGAAGAAACTTTTTTTTAAAAACATTATAAAGTCTTACCAACCCCAAACTTTTGAACGGTTGAGATAAGTAGTTGTTAAGAGTTGCAGGCGTTAAAGCAAAATCCCCAGTCTCCCTCTACTTGAGCGGATGTTTCATAGAAAAACATTAAAAACCCCTTAGCATTCCAATGTCCCTCCTGAGGTACAAATCCCATTCAAAAAGAGACCTTAGGAATGCTAAGGGGCTTTTGAAGACTAACTGACCTGGCCACACTCTCCCTAACTCTGTAAGGGATGGTGCTAGTGCTGGGATCTGGTTCAGGAAGTCTCTCCTCCAGCAACCGCTCAGCTCCAGGACCCGGTCTGTACCGGACATCCACAGTGCTGTAGACCCGCGTGGGCCAGGAATGTAGCACTGCCAAAACCAGCACCACTGATGCTACCAGAGCTAACAGCACAGTCTTACGTAGGGAACGCATGCTACAAGCTAAAACACAAACAGAAACACAACAGTGTTGAAACTTCATTCAGTGTAATTAAATTAATTGTACAAAAATGGGTGGGGTTCTTCATGTGAAACAATGTGGGGGAAAGCACTATAGTAATTCCAAAAACACTTTAGTTTTTAACATACTCACTCTATCCAATCAGAGCGAGAGGTACAGCAAGTTGCCATTACTGCTCCTAAAGGTCCATGGTACTGATTGGCTCAATCTTGATGTGACTTACAGTAGCTGATGAGGCTGATGGAGGGCTCTCTCCATCTGCTGAGATAGAAAAAAAACCCTTAGTCACGTCAGTTGTAGTGCATTCATTTACTGTATTTATTACATAAAAGAATCCAATGTACACTCTTAAAAAAAGGTTCTTTATGGGATTTGTGGTTCCAGGATTAACTTTGAATGTCAATTAAATATTTCCACTGCACAGAAGTCTCTTTATAGTGGAAAAAGTTTTTTTATACTATTAAAATGTCCTTCACACGAAGGAAAAATGGTTCTTTTTTTAAGAACTATTCTCTAAATGATGCTTCTATGGTATCGCTATGAAAATTCACTTTTGGAATCTGTATTTCTGAAGCCCCTTTCACACAGAGCGCTGATCACGTAAAATGTTCAGAGTGCCTTCTGTGTGAATGCAAACACATCCTGGGAACCAATCAGTCCCGGAACACGCCCAGTGTGAACAAAAGGCTGGACCAATGCCATAAGGGGTGTGTCGTAGTGATGACACACGTTATCGTGCGACTCTTTTAAATGCAGATCAACGTTCACGACAAAAAATGTCTGCAAACTGGAATGAAGCAAAGACCAGGGAGCTCCTCACCATCCATGCTATGAGATCGTTCGCCAGCTTAGTGGAACAGTACACATCACATTACATGTCACATCCCAATGTCACGTGTCTTTATGAGATCTTTACGGGATGTGTGTGAACACACGCACAGATTGCAGAAAATCACTGGAGGGAGAATGAACCAGAATCCAATGATCCCAGAGCACATATCAGTGTATTTTCTGGAATCTCTATGTGAAAGTTGCTTAAGAGTGTACTCATTCACTATATTCATAAGTCTTCTGAATGCAATACACATTATATGAGGAACAGGACCAAATGCCAGGCAAAATTGAAAATTTTGACACAGCAGTGGACATTTCACAGATGATTTTACACAAGATACACTATTCAGCTAATATCAAACATAATACTTTGCTTCCACTGAAACAATGCAATATAAATATGTTTTGGGGAAACTCAATGGTCACTCTGCTACAGCCATAAGACAACTAAAATAGTCTAACCTTTTCTGACAACCAGTGGTAAGGGCTTTGACTGACTGACACAGCTTTCCTACCCTCTCTCCTGAGACCACTCACATCATCACCAAGGTTTGTGAAGCTCTAAGCCAGGGATGGCCAACGTTGGCTATGGAGAGCCACGGTCTGAGAGTTTTGCTCCAACCTTGATTAAAACTCACCTGCCTTTAGCTTTTTACTAGACCCTATATCTTGATTAGCTTGTTCAGGTGTGTTTGATTAGGGTTGGAGCTGACCTCTGCAGGACTGTGGCTCTCCAGGATGGATGTTGGGCACCTCTGCTCTACGCACACCAACCAGTAGAGAGGAAGCAGGTGTAGTTTGGAAATATGAGTGTGTGTGTGTGTGTGTGTGTGTGTGACAAAGTTTCCTGTAAGGGGTAAGGTTAGGTGTAGGGTTGGTGTAGGGCAATAGCACATACAGTTTGTACAGTATAAAAACCATTACGCATATGGAATGTCCCCACAATTCACAAAAACAAACATGTGTGTGTTTGTGTGTGTTTGTGTGTGTGTGTGTGTGTGTGTGTGTTGTAGGACAATAGCACATACAGTTTGTACAGTATAAAAACCATTACGCATATGGAATGTCCCCACAATTCACAAAAACAAACATGTGTGTGTTTGTGTGTGTTTGTGTGTGTGTGTGTGTGTGTGTGTGTGTGTGTATGTGCAAGACAAGTGTGAGACAGGAAATGTTATTTTAGCTCCTTAGACGTCCTGGCTTCTTTGCAACGCATCTGGAGGACATAGTTGGACACCTTAAAGCTGCAGTCCGTAAGTTTTGCCTCTTTGTCGCCATCTCTGTTTGAAAACCTGGAATTGCAGCTGTGTGCGGAATTATCTATTTGCGTGGGTTGTGCTCCAGCGCGGATGAATCTAATGTTCTGAAGAGTATGTGTGGCAGTCAGTCACCGCAC